AAAAAAAAGCGCAAAAATTTAACATCACGACTGTGGACTTGTTTTTGCTACAATAAACAGTCATCAAAATACCGCTTCCAATGAACCGCAAAATAACCTTAAATGACGAATGCTAGACACTTCGTAGAAGCTATGTGAAGCTGAGTAACTTAAAATCGAAACTTACTCCACAAAAGGAAGCCCATCTCATTTTTCGTATGGTGCGAACCAAAGTTGGAATGATAGATCCATCGCTGTCCACTACCATCCACATCTACAACCATGCAGCCCTTCATAATTTCCTCGGCTTCCTTTTCATCCAGTACGAACTGGAGATATTCATTGAGCGGGAACGGTGGGCAGCGTACATAACGATAAATGCGTGATAAACGCGCTGCATCTGCTCGTTCTGAAAATCAGCACGTTTTCAACTCAGTGAAAGAAACTGGACGGTGCAAGGTAAAGATTAAGCGAGCACTACAACTGTGCCCAGTAAGAAAGATGTACGCCTTTACGGACTATGCTAACTGTGACAATTTTAAAGCCGAGGAAAGCGGAGAAGCTTCTAACTGCGCCATGGGCAATAAGAAACACCGGGACAAAGTTGTTTGACTTTGCCCAAAGCGTCGGGATAAAGCAACAACAATTATCCATGTTCAGCAGTTTGTGGAATACCCCAATATAAGAATTACCGGATGCAGGACGCGGAGGTAATACGAGTGCATGAAAACTGCCATTGATAAATCCAAGCAGCAGTGGCGGGCAAACACGAAAATTATTCATTCCAGGCAGCTGAGGATAATATCCTTCGACTGGATGCTTAAGGCGACTCGGGCAGCCATTTCTTGAAGGAAATGGGTTCATCTTCGATGATTCAATAGGGAAAACAATGATTGGGCGGTTCAAAACCTGAGCCAGTACCAAAATATGAATCTGAAAAATGGAAGACTACGAATCACTGCTTGAGGAACAAGAGAAAGAAGTCGTAGAGAAGCAAGCATTTCTCGAACGCTACCAGGTTACCTGTTCAAGTGGCGATCCCGGCTGCTTGCACTCAACTATGCTT